AGCTCAAGGCACGTATGCTCACTTATGGTGGGATTGCCCGCACATACAACAGTTCTGGGGGGACGTCACCCGTCTCATTTCCACCATTAGCGGTATATCTACACACATGGACCCCTGGCTGTGCCTCTTCCATCTTAACCCCCTTTCAATGCGTTCATATAAGAGATCGGTAATTCCCTTTATGCTCAATGCAGCGAAAGCTCTCATCCCCACACACTGGCGCTCAACCCAAACACCCACGGTGGCAGAGTGGTTGACACGGGTGGACCATCTGCGTTTGATGGAAGAACTCCATCACTCTAGTAAGGACACATATAGCACTTTTTACACGACTTGGGCGGGATGGCTGCACTTTAAAACTCAGGACGAATATGTCTCAATGTTATCCGCGTGATATGGTCTGCTTTAAAACCTGTTATTCTATTTTATTTAATTAAATTTTTTTTATTAGTAACTCTGTAAAACTGGCGATTGTATTTTACCCTAATACACTATGCTTCCGGTAAAATGATTGCCAAGTTCCATTGAGGGGCTCCATCACTGTATTGTTATGCACTGTTTTGCCACATGCTTGAATGCGCATATTGCGCCCCGACCAGGGGACCAACCCCCCTCCCCCCTGTACCCCTACGTCTCTTGTCCCCCCTTTTACCTTGGATATCGTATGTAATGTGATTGTCTTAATGTATGCTTACTGTATTGTATGTGTGTTTTTTGTTATATTTTGAAAATCTTTAATAAACATTTAATATGAAAAAAGAGTTGGTGGTATGTATAACTATATTTAAAGACAAACCTGGAACTTGGCTACACATTCAGAGCTACAAAAATTGTAGAGTTTTCCATCAGGCATTGTGGCTTGATACTGAGGTAAGGTGTTCCTTTTACAAAAATGACAAATTATTCCCGCAGCTGAAAGGCAAATTATAGACCATTAACATTTCACATGTAAACAAGATTCAAATGCATTTCATTTTTTTTTCTACTTTTCTACTTCCTGGTCCACTTGGGCATAAATTATGTAATTGTGCCCAAGCATTGCATCCTGGGAAGGCTACATCAGCAGTGCATTGCTGAGAAATCTCATCTGCAATCTTATGAGATCTCAGGGAAAGGCATTTGTTTCCCCTGGAGAAGATGTGCATGGTCACATGTCCTAGTCACATAAGTTTCAAAAAGTAAAGGGAGATACATTAATCTCCCCTAAGTAAAATTGGCCACTGTGAGAGGAATGGGGAGGAAAAGAAAAATAAGGTATTTAAAGAATAAAAAGCAGAAACAGAAAAGTGTCTGTTTGTAAATTGTCATTAGTAAACATTTTTAAAGGTGTTTTTGTTGTCATTATAAAGATCAGGGTAAAGTTCCTCTTTAAGCAGTTAGCCACACACAGCAAGAAATCACAGCTGGTAAGCATACAGTGTCCATACATATACCCCAGGACAGAGTCATGCACTTACTTGGAGTAGGAAGGAGAGTCTGAACTGGAGGTGGAGGTGGAGGTGGTGGTGGCGGCGGCTGTGGCTTTGCAAATTTTGCCTTGTGATTGTTCATGCACGTTGTTGAACAATATGGCTCCATATGTCCATTTATTCCAATGCACTGAGTCATGTCAAAGATTCTACATTGAGTTTTGCATCCTGTGCAGCTGGTTAGCTTTCCATGTTTCTAAATAGAAAAACAGACCAATGGGATTTATTGAAGAATTCAAAAATACTTGACTGTAAAGCACAACCATGCAAGTATATGGAGTGGCACTGAAAAGCTACAGCATGATGTTATACGATAGATTTTGATGATAACAATGAAGGCGGTCCTAAAAACAGCCAATTAGATGCCTTGGTAGTCACCAAGAGAAACAACTCACTACAGATTTTAAAAAACAGCCCCACTAAGAAATAAACCCGGATTCTATGAAAGAGGAAGAGAAGAAAAAGTTGTCAAAGAATTAAACAAACACATCCTCACATTTTAAAAGCCAACTAAAGGAAACTATGAAATCCATTTCTATGGATAACGCCACCATCTTTATTACATCATCTACTGTGAAAGTTAAGCTGGCCATACACTAATATTTTCTTTGTTCAACCTGCGGGCTGAACGAAGTAAATATAAAAGATTCCTCCATCAACGCTTGCAAGCATTGATCGAGGAATCCCCCAGTGTGTTCATTGCCGCCAACTGTTCGGTTTTTCTGGCCGCGGCCAGCGACTGCTGCCACAATCCCCGCACACAGTTGGCAGCTGATTGGGCATCTGCTCTGTTCATTCAAAGATTTCCTGACCTGCTCCTTTGATCAGCTGATCTCGGGATGCTGGTCGAAAGGGTGCCAATGAAGGTTCATCAAGAAGCATCCAAAATTTGAATAGTATATGGCCACGTTTACACACAGGGCCACCTGACTTCTGTCCATCTTACCAAGGTTAGCACATTTGAATGACAATATAAGCAGCTTCTATAAGTCTATGAGGCAGGGCAATATTTGAGATACATCTAAGTTTGGGGTGTACTTAGGCCTAAAAAAAGAAAATAATGACTGGTTGAAGGGTTTTACATGGCGCATTTTAAACAAAACACATTCCCATAGGTATAGGTTTTCATGAAACATGAAGAGGCTTGCTTAGACATATGTGTTCACAATGAAGGTATGTGCAATCAAATACAGAATTTGGCAGCTTACCTAAAACCCAATTGCACTGATTACTGTAATGCAGCCAGGCTGGAAATGCAGTAATAGATATGGGGCGCTTTTATTCATTTTACACAGCTGCAGCAAGCATTAAATACTCTATGCTGCCAGCACACAATCAGACTGCGGCTGTCACACAAAGGAGCAGCCCAGCTCTTTAGCAGTCCTGAATACTGCTCTGAACAGCATTATGAAGTGGGGGCGCTCAGCCGGGCAGAGAGCCGGGGCACTGCCCGGCTCTTGCTGGAGCACTTCCTGGAATTAAAATACAGTAATAAAGAGCAAGAGTTCAATTGAGAATTTAAAGTGTATTTTCACTTTCACAGCCAATAGGTTAACACTATTTTATATTTGTTACAAGTTATCGTTCACATAGCATAAGCTAAAAAAAATAAAAAAAATGATTTTTGCAGTTTAAATTGCCTTTTCTTGGGTTAGGGTTTCGTGACTTCGTAAGGGTTAATATTTCTACTTGCTTCTTCTCCTTTGTAATGTAAGGAGGGGCTGTGAGCGGTTAAAGGATTAAAAAAGCCTGGCTTCTCCATTGTAGGTTAATGAAGTTATTGAGACAAACACAATTCATACATCCCTGTCCAGTATTTCTACAAGGACAGGTCACTTTAAAGGTGCTCAGAAAAAAACAAAAAAACTTGATTCAGCCATATTGGCTGCTGCAATAAAACATCTAAAAAATAAAAACATTTTAAATGTAAAACTCAAAAAAGGAAAATGTTATGAATTGTTTTGTATTATTTTTCGGTAAGGTGTGTGAACAGTAGCGCAAACATTTTAAAAAAGAATTACATTTTTGAAATTTGACTGCAAAAGTGGACATACACTTTAACATCATTGTCAAAATTCGGATTCATCTGCAACACGACACTCAAAGCCAGTTTCTATCCCTTTATCCTTGGCTTTGAGGCCTCTTATTGAAATATGTGTATGAACCATTGTGTGGATGTGCTCACCGATATTGCATAAAACTGGAAATTAATTGTTCTTCTGCTAAGATATGTGGAAGCTAAAGCCTGGTTTACAATGCTCCTGAAAATGTAAATCTGCACTCCAAACCACTAAATACAAAGAAAAAAAAATGCATATAATGGAGGCGTTTTAACTGCCACATTTTGTATTTGTGTCGATCTAGTCTTAAGATATACACAGGTCTGCCAAAACAACACAGCCCTCCCTAAACTGTAGGTCAGTAACCCCGTTACAGGTCTCCTCCCCACCCCCAGCCCGTGACTGCACAGTAAAGGAAAAAACAGCAGACTGATGAGCTCACCTCTCTGTAACTCTGCTCTTTCCTCCTATCAGCATTTTTCTGGCATTGCAGCACAAATGATTGGCTTCTTGTGCTATTTCTCCCTCTCCGAGTCTGAGCTCTGCTATACAGGGAACTACAAGAAGCTGACACCAGGTCAAATTCAGGTATTTTCACTGCTTGCATTTAAAACTACATTTAATTATGTATTAATAAATACAGAGCTGCATTAACACGCTTCTTCATCTGCCTGAAGTTCAGAATCAGAGCTAGTTCATACCAACCCCAGTGCGTTCTGGCCGATTCGGCACAGTCAGCATTTTTTCTGACCGCACCGGACTGGAATGCAGGCATTGATGCGTCACGCATTCCTGTGGGGGGCGATCATGCTGCGGTCGGGGGGCGTGGCCGCGGTGCCATAGACTTCAATGCACCACTAAGCCCCCTCCTTTTCCAGAATGCAGTGAGTCAGCCAGGATGTGATCCAGTGCATTTCGGCACTGAATCGGGCTGGGACGCACTAGGGCTGGTGTGAACTAGCCCTCAAAAGAACATTTTCAAGGACAGAAATATATAGGCTTCCACTGCTAAAATCCTTCTAAAATGCAAGTAACGTGGCTGGTGCCCAGAATATACAGTATCTGCATACTACCATTGCTACCCATCTAATTCAACTTGGGAAGTACTGCAACCAGCAGCTGCACGGCAATTATCCTTTCAGAAGGAGGTCAGCAATGGCAGCCCACATTTTCTCTTATAACTGGTCTACTTTAAAGTGCATCTAATCCCAAGAGCAAATGTGTAATATATTGCAGCTTACCATTTTTTAGATGTGGTGGCTGCATTAGTTTTCTTTTTTCAGGATTTTCCTCTCTTTATTTTCACCTGGTGTTCCTGCAAGTAACACATTTCCTGTTCTAAAGCGACAACTCTTGCTCACTGTACTGCATCTATGTACTACAGAACTCCTCCCTCTCATCACCATAACATTGAGGGATTCGTCTTACAGTCCACCAAGACAGCTGAGAACATTGTAACTGATACAGGAACAAGCACAGGCAGACAGTATGAGGCACGATTTCTATATATTATGTAATATTTCTATATTCTCTACACATGGTACATTTGTACAATGTTATTTTTAACAGAACAAAAGAGAGGAAGGTGTTACATACACATCAAATATTTAACCAATAATACATACAGTGTGGAAAATAATGATTCGATCCCCTGCAGATTTTGTAAGATTGCAGGACAGAATATCAACCACAAATCCAGAAAAAACACATGATACAAATGTTATAAATTGAGTTGCAGTTCAGTGAGTAAAATAAGTATTTGATCCCCAGGCAAAACATGACTTAGTACTTGGTGGATAAACCCTTGTTGGCAGTCACAGAGGTAAGACGTTTCTTGTAGTTGGTTACACTAGGAGGAGGGATTTTGGTCCACTCTTCTTTACAGATCTTCTCTAAATCCTTAAGGTTTCTTTGCTGTCGTTTGGCAACTCAAAGTTCCAGCTCCCTCTATACATTTTCTATAGGATTAAGGTCTGGAGACTGGCTAGGCCACTCCACAACCTTAATGTGCTTCTTCTCGAGCCACTGCTTTGTTGCCTTGGTGGTATGTTTTGGGCCATTGGCATGCTGAAAGACCCATCCACAACCCATCTTCAGTGGGAAGATTTTACAATACATGGCCCTGTCCATTGGCACCTCAATGCAGCAAAGTCGGCCTGTATCTTTAGCAGAGAAACAGCCCAAAGCATAATGTTTCCACCTCATTGCTTGACTGTAGGGATGGTGTTCTTAGGGTCATAGTCAGAAATTTTCTTCCACCAAACATGGAGTTTAGTAAATGCCAAAGAGCTCAATTTTTGTCTCATCTGACCGCAGCACTTTCTCCCAATCCTTCTCTAAATCATTTAGATGTTCATTGGCAAGCTTCAGACGGGCCTGTACATGTGCCTTCTTGAGGAGGGGGACCTTGCGGGCCCTGCAGTATCTCAATCCATGGCGGTGTATTGTGTTACCAATGGTTTGTTTGGCGACTGTGGTCCCAACTTCCTGGAGATCATTTACAAGCTCCTCCCGTGTAGTTCTGGGCTGATCCCTCACTTTTCTCATGATCATCCTTACCCCATGAGACGAAATCTTGCATGGAGCTCCAGACCGAGGGCGATTGATGGTTATTTTGTATTCCTTCCATTTGCAAATAATCGCTCCAACAATTGTTTCCTTCTCACCAAGCTTCTTCGTGATAGTTTTGTGGCCCATTCCAGCCTTGTGCAGGTCTACGATCTTGTCCCCAACGTCCTTTGACAGCTCTTTGGTCTTGCCCATTGTGGTGAGGTTAGAAAGAGATTCTGTGGACACGTGTCTTTTATATACTTAACAAGTTGTCGTTAGGAGCACCTTCTTAAATTGACAGGACTAATCTGTGTATCACATAGCCAGTCTGTGGGAGGAGCCAGAATTATTGTTGGTTGGTAGGGGATCAAATACTTAATTTTACTCACTGAACTGCAACTCAATTTATAACATTTGTATCATGTGTTTTTTCTGGATTTTTGGTTGCTATTATGTCTTTATCATTTAAAATACACCTCTGATAAAAATTATATACCGTTCATTTCTTTGTAAGTGCGCAAACTTACAAAACCTGCAGGGGATCAAATACATATTTTCCTCACTGTATATAAGATCACCTAGAAAC